TGTGTTCATCATGAATCATGAGTATTGATTTCCCAAAACAATAAATAGTCATGTCAAAGAAGCAATATCATTTTAACTATATTCATAATTTTGCATCTTTGAGAACAATATTTTCAAGTTAATTGATGTGAATCATGAGTATTGATTTCCCAAAACAATAAATATTGGTGTCAAAGAAGCAATATCATTTTAACTATATTCATAATTTTGCATCTTTGAGAACAATATTTTCAATTAATTGGAGTGTTTTATGACACAATTAATTTGCTGTTTTCTTGGCAAATTTATTTGTAATAGCACCTAGTGATTTGAAGAGTTTTCTTTCTTTGCATGCTGTCCTTCTCAGCTCTCCCTGGCAATTTTGCAGATGATCTGGCAGCCCCAGCACTCACCTGAGGGCAAGGCTGGTAAGAATGTAGACATCTTGAGACAGAGCTATTAGACCATGCTGATTTCCCTGCTATGCCAGAAGACAGCCCCATCCATTACTGATGGATCTATGGAGCAGAGCCTCGTGTATGCATGAAAGATTTCATTGTTCTGACCTTTGTACCATTAGTCATCTGTGGAAAGCCTGAGTCAGAATGTCTTTTGTGCATATGCTGGGCTTGGCTTCCTTGCCCTGGGTAAAAGTCTGTTGGTAATAAGCCATTGCCACTAGGAAGCTTTGGCATTTGGAGAATGGGGATTCAGGCTTAATGCTTAGTTAAAATAAATCAAATAAAAAATAAATAATGGTTATGTAACATGTACATATTTCAGATATTTGGTTTTCTTTGAGAAGTTAAAAATATTTTCAATGAATTGTTTGAATTTTTAGAAGAAATTATTTTTTTCAAGTAATAAATATGTATGGTTAAAAAACTAATAGAGGGGCTGGCCCAGTACCATAGTGGTTAAGTTTGCGCACTCCACTTCGGCGGCGTGGGGTTCGCAGGCTCGGATCCCGGACGCAGAACTATGCACTGCTTATCAAGCGGTTGTGGCAGGCATCCCACATAAAGTAGAGGAAGATGGACACGGATGTTAGCTCAGGGACAGTCTTCCTCAGCAGAAAGAGGAGGATTGGCAGCGGGTGTTAGCTAGGGGCTGATCTTCCTCACACACACACAAAAAAAGCTAACAGAGCTTGTAATGAAATTCACTATCTCTTTCCATTCACAGAGACAGCTTTACCTCCTACTGATTTTAATTCTACAGGTAGTTACCTTTGTATCTCTAAATAGTATGTTTGCACTAATATGTTTATTCCTTTACTGTTTCAATACATGGATTTAGCTCATTTAAACAGTCTCCTGCCAGTGTAGTTCTATTACTGTTCTTAGTTTCTCCACTGGTCACCCCTGCTATTTCTGGTCTTATTACCTATGGATCATATATCTCTTGGCTCCCCATTTAGAAGGAGAGTAAGACATGGCTGAGATGTTCTTATCCTTTCATTGGTATCTCCTCCCCAACTTCTGTTGTTAATCTTTGCCAGTTTTATCTTTACTTTTGCTTTGTGAAGGTTGACTACATTTACTTTCTCTTTTGCAGCCTCAATTTATCTATAAGTGGATTCTAGAAATTGAAAACCAGTAATTCACTACAGAGCCACTTATTGGGCTGTGATTACACTTTCTTATCTCTGCTTCCAGGGTCATGACCCCTCTGGCACTCAGAGGAAAAATTTTCTGGTATTTATATATATGTGTGTATGTATACATATACGTGGGTGTGTGTGTGAGTGTGTGGGTGTGGGTGTGTGTATAATTTAAAAAATCAATTTGGGTGATTTTTTTTTCCCTTGGAGTTTCTATTTATTTTTTTCTTGCATTTCAAGTCTGTATCATATCTCAAGTTTTTTTGAGCTCTGAATCATCCTTTCTCTTCAGTTAGAATCCTTTCCTAGTAATCATCCTCAAAATGATTGTTCTCCTACCTAATAACCAATGCATGAGTGATAAGCTTCATGAATTCTTGCTTATTTACAAATGTATTTAAATTGCCCTGGATTGATAGCTTGGATAGTGACCAGATATTAGGTTGAAATCACTTCTCAGAAGAATTTTGCTCCATGTTAGATGTCTTCTAACATCCCATACTACTGATGAGAATTTGGATACCCATCTGATTCTCTTATGGCTGTTTTTTTCTTTTACCATCTTCTCTTTATCTTTGATGTTCTAGAATTTTATGATTATGGGTCTTTTTCATTTCTCTTGCTTGACAGTCCTTAAGCTCCTTGATTTGAAGACATAGATGTTCTGTATCTTTGGGGTCTGACAAATTTTTGTATTATTTTAAAAATGACTTTCCTTTTTTCTTTGTTCTATTTTATGTTTCCACAAATCATATGAGTTCCACATTAGGCTTCTTGAATTGATGTTTCTTTGTTTCCTTATCTTTTATATTTCTATTTCTTAGTCTTTATTTTCTGAGATAGTAATTCTTTTGTTCATGTCAGAATTAGTTTAACTTCTTCAATCTTGGATAAGAACAATTTTCACCATGATTTATGAGAAAAGAAAAAAAAATCAAGTTCTAAAACCTCATTAGGTAGATTGAATTTTACATTTATGTCTCTTATTGTGACTTATTTTGTTTTCTTTATTTTCTACATCTTTTTTTCTTTTTATATTTTTAAGAACTAGAGAGAAAAATGAATTCTTGAAATATATTAATTGAAGGGTAAATTTGATTATATTAATTAGATTCTTCAACACTAATAATTATACTTATTTATAGAATAATTACTGTAGTTCTATACTTTAATGAAAAGATGAATTTTAGAAGACGATGGGTTTGTCTTTTGCAGATGGTATAATCATCAGCCTCAGCAGGCCTTTACAGAATAAAGAATTGGCAGATTTAAGAGCTCTGGAAGAGCTTGTTTTCCAGATTTATGCAGTTTACATTCTCTCATCTTAATTTGTTAAACCTTTGTGAATTTTGAACTGTGGCTATAAATCATCCAGGAAGCAATTACATGGACCTGATTTTGCAAAAGTAAAATTTTTGAATCATTTCATATAATCTATTTAGTAAATTATTTTAAAATTGTTTTGGGCATCATTATGAAATATATTCAGAGAAATAGTGTTTGTACTACTTTGTTTAATCATTTATTTTATTGATTTATTGAGTTTTATTAGGTAGTTGGAGTTAAGCTAGTAGACTTAGCTGCATTATTTATAATTCTCATCTCACGCTTGTTAATTCCTTCCCTGAATTATTGTAATGAGGGTTTTAATTTGTGATGTTAAGCAACTATTGTGAATCTTTTGTGTTTGACATGTTTTGTACATTTAAGAATGTTATAAGTTGCTTAAAAGCTGACCATTTTGAAGGTGTGAACGTTAGGATCGGCTCTGTGGTTTTGGATGAATTACTTCATCCTAGATAATTGAATAAGGTAATGTGTGAAAGGGCCGCATTGCCTGAAGCGTGTGCCATGGTTAGTGAAGGAGCCATGTAGCCCTGTTCTCCTGTGCTCCTCTCTGTGTCACCTGCTGCTTCGAGACCTCTGAATTCAAAGTTACAACAATGACCATCATGCTCATTAAATAGTCTTATTTCTTATTAAGTATGTAGATTGCTCTATTTATGAAGAGTAAGCTCATAGTGTTAGGTAGGGTTATTAGAACACAATAACAAATTCATAACCATAAAAGATATTTAATATTGAAGTAAGAGATTCAATTACAATGATAATATCTTTAAAAGAAGTGTTAATGGAAATCTTATTAATGTAATTTACACCTTTACCTTGTGAATTACTTTATCTTGCTGGATAGTAAGTTTTAGCATCCATCTTTCATTGATGATGAGGAGGGATGAGAGGAGGGACACATTCACAAATCTCATGGGTAGCGATAAACTTTGAACCAAAGTTTCCACCGCACCTTTCCTGTTGGCACTTAGATTGCTGTGTTTTTTTTTTTTAACAGGGAAAGATTTGCCCTGAGCTAACAGCTGTTGCCAGTCTTCCCCCTTTTTCTTTTCCCTCCCCAAAGCCCCAGTACATAGTTGTATATCCTAATTATAAGTCCTTCTAGTTCTTCTGTGTGAGCTGCTGCCACAGCATGGCAACTGACAGATGGGTGGTCTGTTTCCGTGCCTGGGAAACGAACCCGGGCTGTGGAAGTGGTGAGAGCACTGAACTTTAACCACTAGGCCATCAGAGCTGGCTCTAGATTGCTATTTTTTATCTTTTATTTTTCTCTTATGATCTGTTTTGATAGTCTTAACTTCATTGATTATCATTTTCCAAAAAATAGAAATATTTATAAGCTAATGATGGGGTTACTTGCAAACTTTAGCCAGTCCTGATTGCTTAGTTTTTGCCATTGGCTATTCCAGGAAGAGTAGTGAGTGCCAGTGTGAAAAATTATTTGAACAAAAGTGCAAAGAGATTAAAATTGTGTAATGGCAGATTCTTCTCAGCCTCCTTGTGGAAAGTCTGTGTGTGTGTTTGTGCCCGCATGTGTGCGTTTCCCTTGTCAGGGTTAATTCACTGGGAAGTAACATGGCAAACAGATTTTACCATGGATATCGATGAGTCTTTTCATTTTATCTGGCATATTGATAGGTACAAAAAATAATTTGGAACATAATTATTGGACCAGATTATTTCAAGTATTTTAATACTTATTTTACTGTTGTGTGTAGGTTGAAAAATACTATTTTTATTGTCTGTGTGGCTCAAGTGTATAATTACTTGGGTAAAGCTGTGCCATTTCACAGAAACATTTTAAACTAAAGGGCCCCTCAAAAGATAGAATAGATCAGCCTTCTGCCCTCAGAGGATTTGTAGGCAGCAAAGACCTCGAGTGCTCTGAGATAATTTGCTCTAGGTCGGGCTGCTGTAGGTGGAGAAGGACAGAGGCTGGTGAAAGGAGCATGGCAGCATCTGGGACCCATTTAATTTGTTGAGGGGATTTTGGGGAGTTAGTGGGTCTTTTTGAGGAAATTACGTGATAAATCAGTCTCTCTCTTTTTCTCTCCCTCTTTTCCTACAGGGCCCCTGTGTCCACGATGAGGACTCTGGCCTATCGCTCATAGGAAAACCCGCCCTTCAGGCTCTTTTATATCACTGCCATTTTTATGACCATTTGAATCAGATGGTAAAACATTGTTACCTGGGACGGTATATGTTTGATTTGAATTGTTCTGCCCTTGATGGAACTTCAGAAGGCAGCGATTTAAGTGGTAAGAACAATATATTTGTATTTTTACTTTTACAAAATGTAACTTTTTAAAAACTGTTAAAAACCTATGTGTTTGTTACAAAATATTTGAAAAATAATGAAAATACACAGGAGAAAAATTCATCTCTAGTCCCATTCCCCAAAGATTACTTTTGTTATGTTACGGTATATTTTCTTCCAGTCTTCTTTCTCTGTGTAGCTTTTGTTTTACATAATTGTGTTCATAGTTTACGTACATTTTTGTATTCCCTCCTTTCGCTAAACATTGCCTAAGCATTTTTTTATGTTATAAATTCTTCATGGAAACTATTTTTGACATCTTATTGATGTTTTATAAGTTATTTCATATCCTTCAGTAAAATTTTATAATTTTTTTTCTCTATTAACGTCTTAAACTTTTTGGAAGGTTCTTCCTAGGCAATCAAAAATGAGACCTGTTCCTACTAAATTTTCTAATCCATTTTGCTAATGTATATTGAAAAGCTATTTGTTTTTCTTTTTTTTGAAAAGCTGTTCGTTTTTGATATGTTACTCATTTATCAAAATATCTTGCTGAAACCTTTTTATTTCTATTTATTTATAGATTCTCTTGGGATCCTAAGATCTTAGCACATATAAATAATCATTATCTCATAACAATAAGTAATTTAATAATAATAAAAATAAATTATATTTTTAAGTTAATTTTTAATGTAATTTTTAAAAATCTTGACATAATTTCACACTTACAGAAAAGGTGCAGAAATAGTACAAAGAATTCCCAAATGTTAGCATTTTACTATATTTGCCCCCCTACCCCATGTGTATGTAAATGTATATGTGTGTATAAGTAAAATTTATTAAAATGTATGTGTGTGTAAATATATTTTTCTGAGTAAATTGCAGATATGAGGTTTCTTTACCCCTAAATACTTAAGCATGAATTTCTTTTCTTTTTTTTTTTTTTTGCTGAGGAAGATTTGCCCTGAACTAACATGTGTTGCCAGTCTTCCTCCTTTTTTGCCTGAGGAAGATTAGCCATGAGCTAACATCCCTGACAATCTTCCTCTACTTTTTTTTTTTTTTATTGTGAGGAAGAGTGGCCCTGAGCTAACACCTGTTGCCAATCGTCCTCTTTTTGCTTGAGGAAGACTAGCCCTGAGCTAACATCCATGCCCATCTTCCTCTAATTTGTATGTGGGATGCCACCACAGCATGGCTTGATGAGTGCTATAGGTCCTCGCCCAGAATCTGACTCTGCAAAACCTGGGCTGAGGAAGCAGAGTGTGCTGCACTTAGGCACTGCATCGCAGAGCTGGCCCCAAGTGTGAATTCCTAATTTACTTTTCTGCTCACTTCTTGGAGGAATTAAGAGGAAAATGACATTGGGTGACGTTTTTGAACATTCTAAATAAATGTTCCTATGAGGAAAGTGACTCATTCAATTGTTTGGATTTCTCTGGATTAGTCAAAGCACTGCCCTTGAACTAGTAGCATTGACATCTTCTGTGAGTGTGTTAGAATTGCAGATTTACGGCTCCCACCCTGGTTTAGGGAGTGGAATCTCTGGGAATAGGACCCAGGAAACTGCTTTAACAAGCTCTTTATGATTCTCCCAAAACAGTGAAGTTTGGGAGCTGGTGCTCTTGATAAATTGTGTTAGATTAAGCTAAAACACCTCCAACTAGATTTTAGTCATTAGATTTTTTGTGAAACAAGCTTTATATATAAATTAGTTACGCATAATAAAAATTAGGCAAACCTCATTCCTTAGTTCTTGATTGGTTTCATGTAATGAGTATTCTTTCTTTTAATTGTTACAGTACCCAAGAGAGTATTCATGTTGACAGTTTTCCTGTTCTCACAGGTTTAGATGACTCATTCAAGTTTTGGAGGGCTCCATCTAGGATGTCCAATCAAGATCGAGATCCGAGTTCTCTTTCCACCTCGGAAACAATGGTACTTCCAAAGAATGCATAAGTGCTTCCTTTTGAATCTCTGAAAAAAAATTGAATTTACATAGTGGAGAGATAAGAATGTATACAAAATATAAGATTATAATTATTGGCTGTGATTTATTTGAAGTGCTGTCTGTGCAGAACTAGGGTCTTCCTTGCTTGTATAGCTACACTGAATATCCTTTTAGATGAATTTTCAATCCATTTCCTACCTTTTTTGATAGAGCCAGAAATACAAAGGTTTGAAAATTTTTATCGGTAGTGTTAGAAGAAGAGAACAGATCCCGTATGATTAATAATGCTTGGTTGAGCTGAAATTTTGCTTAAGGGCAAGGCAATTTAGAGAAAATTGACCCATTCTTATGATTCCAATGTGATACTGATGATTTTAAACACATTTCTAAATACTTGCATCAGATAGAAGTCTTGATTATCTGAAATACCTGAAATTTATGTAGGCCTGCCTGCCTTTTTCTTTTCATTTATAAACTGCTTTGTTCTAAAATGTTTGAGAGGGGCCGGCCCTGTGGCTTAGCGGTTAAGTGCTCGTGTGCCGCTGCTGGCGGCCCGGGTTTGGATCCCGGGGGCTCACCGACGCACCGCTTCTCTGGCCATGCTGAGGCCGCATCCCACATACAGCAACTAGAAGAATGTGCGAATATGACATACAACTATCTGCTGGGGCTTTGGGGGAAAAAATAAATAAATAAAAATTAAAAAATAAATAAATAAATAAAATGTTTGAGACATTAGAATTTCTAAATAATGACTATACTAGGTTTCATTTGTTTTACAAGCATACAAAATCATTTATTCTCAACTAGAAAACGTTATGTTCAAGTAAGTGTTTTTGGAACAATTACTGTGTTATAGAATCTTTTGGGAAGGCAAAGGCTTGGCACCCTTGCTTCCAGGAAAAAAAATAATAAGAGAACAGTAATTATATAGGCATTAATAAGATTCACCTCCTACAGTTTCTCAAGACACTGGTACTTTTTGCTGTAGTTTTAAGAGTCTTTTTTTTCCTAGACTCAAAAGAGAAGAGTTTGTGTTTAGTGCTAAATTGAAACTTTATTTGGAAGTAGAAGAATTACCCCAGATCCACTAGATGTCATGCTTTCCTTTCCAAGCTAGAAATAGTATGTATCTTTGTCTCAAGAAGAGAAATGATGATATGATTAAATGCAAAAAGGAGTTGTATTAATTGGTTATTTAGTTCATAGAAGGACAGAGTTAATATGTACTTAAAAGTAATTCTTCTTAGGTTACCCTGTTTGTTAAAAGGACTATAGACTAACTTTGAAATCTTTATACATTTTTAGTTCTTTGCTTTTTAGTAGGTATTCAGTAAGTAGTAATTGCTCTAATTAACTTTGAATTATCTTAGCTATTTTGTAGATATCAAGTTGTGTTTATCCAAGAAGACTTAAGTACAAAAAGCAAAAGCAGATCAAACTTTTGCATTTCTCTGTTCTATAGTAACATATAAATGTTACAGATTTGGATACTAGATTTTCCTAGAAAAACTTTGGAAATACATTACTTATTGTAATCATTATTAAAATAGAAGCATCTCTAGGCATGTAAAAGTCTTTAACTTGTTTGTGTTTGAATGTCACATAGCCTTTTAAAAATATATACCAATGAAATCTATTTTTTCTTGTTTTAAGAATTCTTTAATATAGTCCTATGTAAGATTTTTTTCATGTAGTTTCTCAAAAGGCTAGTATTATCTGTTGGAATTTTTACAGTCAACTCTTCTTTCTTTTTTTGGATTCCAGACAAAAAAGTTTTGGTCTTGGTGACTTTTACTCACCAAATTGGTGACTTTTATTCACAAAAATAATCTAATTACCCCAATTCTCCTAATTGTCATGTTTTCCTTACCATGCCTGAGATACTGTATATCTTTGTCCCCACAGCAGAAAAGTCTGGAGAGTTTATTCATTATAGCGATATTACTTTAAACTCAAGCTGTCAGTACCCAAACCAACTAATACTTTCTCAAGTATAAGAAAATTTGATGTTACAAATTGAGATATCACTTAAGTGGATGTAAATCTTGCTAATAAGCTTATCTGGTTATTTATATTTTTATTTTGTGTATCTCCCAGATATGAGAAAGGTACAATTTCTTTATTGGTGTGTTTGTTTTTACATTTTGTCTTTCTAAGGAAAGGGCTGTCTTTTAATTTGGGTCATATCATCCGTTGTGCTGTTGCTGGGTCATTATCTATTCTGTGCTGTTAATGCCACATTAGGGACTTTAATGGTATTATTTAATGAATATGAGTTCAGTTGTTTGGCCAGCTTTGTAAGGATGGGGCTTGTATGCTTTGTAACTTACAGATAGAGCAAGGAGTGTCATTGTCACCTTAGGGCATTGCCCTCATAAATAAATGCCTCTTCAGAGGTGGCTTTTCCTCCTACCCTAGGGAAGGAGAAGTGTAGCGAGGGCAGGGGTGGGGGGGTTGGGGGGTGTGCTGTTAGGCATTAGTTGTTTTTCCTCCTAAAGTCACATTTCTTCTCAGAAATGTTCAAGCTAGATAGGTGTTTGTGCCTAGTACATACAAGTGTGCAGCAACAACTTTATGACCAAATTTTGGTCTTTTCTGCTGCTCTTGAGGAGAATTATGTCTATTTTTTCAATCCGTTTCATCAGTTGTCAAAATAAAGGAAATGTGATTCCTTTCCTTTTGATCTTTTCTTTTGATCTTTTCTTTGTGGTACATGTGATTCTTTCAAACTTTCTGGAGCACCAATTTAAAGAAAACTGATTTTACTTTAAGTTTATTTAAACATTTGTAGGGAAATTTTACTCATGGGTGTTCATAGTCTTAAAAAAATTGAAAATCATTCTTATTATCACTATTTTACAAAGGAAGAGATTAAGGTCTGGAGTGAGTAAGTGTCTTGTTCAAGGTTCCAGCACTGGTAACTGCTAGAGCATTCGAGTCCAGAAGGACGTTTGGCTCTAGGGCCTAAGTTGTTGGCCATGCTGTTGCAGTCCCTCACTACAAAGCCAGATGGGATTGGTGCCACAATAGATGTTACAGTCGGAGTGCAGGGAGGTTATACCAGAAGGAATGATGAAATAGGAAGTGATTTTGTGTAAGAAGTGGGTATTGAAATAGGCTCTAAAGGATTAATCCCTTCTCCCTTATTTGTATGCACATATTTGCAAGGCGCTGAAAAGATATTCAAATATGTTTTAGGATTCAGTACCCACTTAACAAGGGTTGAAAGTCCACTTGAGAACATAAAGCATAATTAGAAAATAGCAGAATGCCAAGCTGTGTTATCCTGAAAGCATTAGATATTCAGGAAATACATGGGGCTGTTTGGAGTGTGGGAGGAAGGCTGAGATTTGATTACCAGTGTAACCAGATAGGGGTCAGCCAAGAGAGCCCAGTCTGGTTTTGGATTTGAAGAGGAAAGATATAATAGCTATAAAGATGTAAAGATATTTCAGTAGAGTAAAATGGCATGAAACATTACAGTTGACATTAGAGGAATATATATTGACATTTGTTTGATGGCAGTTAAAAGGTATTTTATAGAATGAAGAGTAGACCAAGGACAGTTAAAGCAGGGATAGATCTAAGGGGCTTATTTAGAAGAAAAATAGTTCAGACGTAGAGATAGTGATGGGGCACGTGCGTACCTCCAGTGTGGTGGCCCCAGGAAAACCTGGGCAGGTGGCAGTTTGCATGATGGTGGCGCGCGAGAGAATGATATACTTTGTTTAAATAAATTTTAACTACCTGTGGGTTACCCAGAACCTAAGAACCTGTGTATTTTGGTTAGAAGGAAAATACAAGTGAGATTCTGTTCCCAAGTATTGGAAATGTAGGCCACTGGGCTCTAGTACAACAAAATTAATGTGGTTTTTTTGGTATAAAAATTTAATATGGTTTCTGTTAATAAAACTTAGATATTGATGGTTTGTGATACCTTGATATTAGTTTTTTTCTAATATAATAATTTTTCATACATGGCATGAGAATGAATACAATGACAGGTAAAAATAGGATATTATTCTGTTCTATGTGCATGGAGTATACTATTTTATGAATAATTATTCTTTTAAAAATTATTAGAGCAAATAATATTTATTTTTTATTTTGTCTATACTTTGTACTCACTTTGGTATATTGGAAGTTTTCCAAACTAAGTTACTATAGAGTTATAGCCATTGCTATCAAGTGTAAACATTTAAAGAGATTGGCAAAAACATTTTGAACTAGATTTCAGCAATTTTATTAAACAGGTAACTACAACTGAAATAACTAAAATAGGTTTGGGTTTTATTTTATATTTGTACTAAAACATATCTTCTTAATTTTGGTAAAAAATTGATTATTGTATATAATAAATTTTGATGTGTGGAGAGAGCCAAGTTCTTGGCCTTTAGAGCTCAGATGACGACACCCCTTGTTTGCTCTGTGCCGCTGCCCATGTTAAGTGCTACAGGTGGGCTAAGTTGTTAAGTCCACACCATTTGAGGGTTCTACTCTTTTAAATGAAGAAACAGTGACTTAGAAAATTTAAGTATTTGGCCTGAGGTCACAAAGCTAATAGAGGAATAGGACAGGCTCTGGGAAACTCGTTCTCTGAAGTTGTGTGTAGTACAGCACAGGGACCCAGGACTATGTCCTGGTGGTAAATCTCTGCGTGAGCAAGTGATCTTACAGTTAGACAGGAAGAGTCTTATATCATCTTCTGCTCGTTCCTTCAGTGGTATTTTTCTGAGTTTTCTTTTTTTATATTGTACTCAATCCATTTGAGTCATGATATACAGTTGAAGTGATTTAAACTTCTTGTTATAATTTGGTTAGAATTCATGATTACAAATTTTGAATCATGACAGAACTTTTCTGCTCTTGGCCATATAGAGAAAGGTATCATTTATAAAAATAAACACATGGAACCTAGAATCCGCTAGAAACTTTTCATACCTTATTTTTTGCCATGTTTTAAAAATGTGAGTAGATTTGTACC